TTATACCAATAGAGACCTCTAAAGTTGCCTTGTCGAAAGTATATCTTCTAACTACTGTATATTAGGCATTCGTTAGACAATAATTGAATATTTTATAGTTTCCATTCATTATCCAAATCAAATCAAAATTGTTTTATTCAGTTTAGGCTTTTATAATAGTACGTACATATGAACTTTGCATATGTAAATTATTTAAATAAAACGACATTTCACTAAGTTGCAGCCAATGTTCTGTTAAACAAACTATTTGTATATCTTTCGATTTAATAAATAACTCTAATTCTAAGTCTTTGCCGGCCAAACACTATATATTTTGATGCATTATATTAATACTAGCATTTGCCCGCGACTTCGTCCGCGTTGTATAGGGCAGCAGTGCTAAAACGAATATTCAATAATTATATCATGTAAAATACTTGAAATAAAGTTTCACGGTGTTGTCTTTGACAATAATAAACTTTAATTCCATATTTCAACTCTTTTATCACAAAAAAAACAATCTAAGTATGTCCTATATCAAGTCGACTCTGTTTAGAGGGTTAGACGTGAGAGCGCAAATGACATATACACAGATTTATTTCGCATGTATAATACGTCTTGTCGCTCGTTACTTCATATAATAAGAGATTACCAGACAGTTACCGAGATAAATATACTATTAAAACAAAAAATAAATAAAAAATACTTGAAAAACTAACTTAAATATAAACTAAAAGGAAAAAAACAAGAAAAGAAAACAACAAAAAAAGGAACCTAAAGATGATTTTAAAATACCTATTCAACGACATCCCACTTGACATAGTTCGTCGATTTTTGTTTTTTTCATTTAGACAATATGGCGTCTGGTTGTCGCTGTGGTGAATTTTGATTACTGTCATGTCTTTAGTGACACTCGCAAGGTTAAGACGAATCGATTGACGTAAGAATCATCAAAATCGACCTACGCATTTGGTCTCTAGAACGCCACATAGAAACAAACATACATACACAGACTGATAAACACATTACCCTCCTTTGCGTCGCGCAGTCGGGTAATAATATAAATCACGATTCTTTGGTCGACTTTTTAACTCACAGCTGTTAAAATTCAAATTTTAAATTGTTAATATTATAATGAATACGTCGTAGACAACTGGGTAAAAGAAGAGAGAGAAAGAAAAACGCGAATCTAATGTCCTCATAAAACTTAATAGAAAACTAAAATATACGAAACTTTTTATCAAAACGATTACGCAGTTTAGTTGAGATTAAACCCCATCATCATCATCAGCCCTAATGCAAGGGCTCGGGTCTTCCTTATGGATTGGTTGAGTAAGATGGGCTATGAGCCTCCACGCTGGTCGCAGCCGAGAGCTACGGCATAACGTGCCTTCCAAACCACGGAATAACGCAAGATAATATTGGTCACCCATCTCTTGACCGACTCTTCTTAAACTTGCTTAACAACAACGATCGAGGCGCTTATTCACCACACTACAGAGTTACTCATCCGTATAGCAAAGCTTAAAACTCTTACTAAATTTTATTTGAAAACTTGAACCAAAACAATGCGATGTAGTATACTTAACGCCATCTAGTATAACACAAAATGTCTAGATTGCGTTTTCTTTCGTAGACAAAATGATTTGTACTTAAATATTTTCAAAATTATTTATTTCTAAAATATTTTTTGTTGTCAATTATGTAGTCAAATACCAATTTTAATCGCTATACTAATAAAACATTTTGTAAATAATATTAGGTATATTACAATGACAAATCAGATTGTAAACAATGGTTGCCATGGTAACATTATAATTCCCCATAAAATCTTTCACTCCCATTTTTATCCCTTTAAGTGCTAGTTTTCGAGATAAAATATAAGTTACTACCTTCCTAGGGTCATAAACTACCCAAATACCAATTTTCATCGACATCGGTCCATAAACAAAGAAGTTTCATACAAATTGTTTCACCCTTTTTGACCCCCTTTGGGGTGGAATTTCCAAAAATTGGTTCTTAGTACACCTCTACGTATTAAGGGGAATGTACCCTCCATATTTCAAGTTTCTACGACCAGCGGTTTACGCTGTGCGTTGTCTGTCATTCAGTAAGTCAGGACATCTCCTTTTATATATGTATAGATAAGTCGATTTAGCCTTTTTCTTACTTTTCCGTTTAAAACTGAATTTGTAAAATAACATTTAAATTAGTAGAATTACTAATACAAACATTATTCTCTCTTATAGCAAATTTAATTTATGTACATATGCGCATGTTTTGTTCCTTATTGTAGTTTTTGACATATGGAAAGCTGCTTATTATCATTTTACAATTTGATTCAGATTGTAATTTTAGTAAACTATCAATACTTTTTACATGACCCTGTATTGATGATGATGAGCTATCACCACACAAAATAATTAAAGTGGTGGCACTATCTAGTTCAAGCTTGCCCAGATTTTTTACTATATTGTTCAATGATCGACCTGGAAAACAAATATTTATGAAGTTTTGTGTTAACTTATTTTTGACACCCCTACCAAGAACTTGGTCCAGCTTGTCAGAAAACATTATTGTTTTGCTACTTTTTGAGTCATTAGACAATGCTGGTTTGAAAGGGCATGTTTTATATGTTGTACATATAGGTAAAGAGATATATGAGACAGATGATTGACCGAGATCATGAGTAGTTTCTTTAATTTTTGGTACTATATTTATAATGGAATTATCAGAAAAAGAAGAAATATACTACTAATTTGTTGATTTTTTTAATAATGACTCATATCGCTCTGCATTATAGTTACATAATCAACTAACTCTGATGCAGATTTATTGTGCTCATTAATTTGTTTCTGCTATGTGTTATCCTATGTTTAAAAGTGTATTTCTCCTAGGCAAAATCCTACTCTAATTGGGAGGATATGTAACAGTTTTCTAAATAAACTGTTTGCCTTTGCATGTTTTCATTCCTTTTTACGTTTTGATACAAATTAATTTAAAGACAAATAATCAATAACCATAATTTTAGGTACAATGCTAACAAATATACGGAGGAGGGCAGACGTAGAAACGCAGCGCGACTCTTAAAGGTGAAATAATATATAAACGACCTCTCAGCTATACTTGATTTTTAAGTGATTTTAAAATATTTTTTAAGTTTGTGCTACATAACCTCGAAAATGGGGATTCTTCCACCGGAACCCACCTCACCTACGCTAGTCTACGTCCTACCTAACGAACCTTCGTGGTTCAATTTCAACTTCGTGGTGGAAAATAGGAATTTTAAGAATTTTGGTAGTTCAGGGCGAGCTCAAAAACCAGCTTAGGTAACTTTTAGCAAGGCTTTATATACCCAAAGACGAGCTCAAATTTGGAAGCAAATGATTTCAATTAGTGTTGGAGATTGATAAATAAAGCGCTGAACTTTTCACCACACTATATTGCAACTTGACGATTACACAGTTAATAACACTTTTATAGAAGTTTGAATGCTTATTTAATAATAAACCAATTTAACTAAACACTGGTTGAACAGAGTAAGCGTACTCGTGCAAAGCCGAGACGGAAGAGGCAGAGACAAATATTTATTTTTTTAATTGGTATTGACAAATACTAAACAATTAGGAACCCTAAAAATTCAAAAAATACAGAGTTTCAATACCTAAAAATGACAAATATTGAGTAAATTTCCATGAAAAGTATTAAATATAACCATGACAACGGAGAAAAACTTTCATGTCAAAACAATTAAAATTCGTGATAAATTGTTTTTTATCACAATTAAAATTGTGTTTTATCAAATTGTGTTTTATCACAATTTATCATCTAGTGCTTTAATATCATCAGAAATTGTAAAATGAATCGTATAACGAAAAGCTAAGAAAGCTATAGGTAAGGGTTTACATAAGTGTAAATAGGCAAAAATATAGGATAAAAGTTCGAAGAGGTTTGGATAAATTTATATTACAGAATTTTAATGGTTATACGTATAAAATTGAAGGTCATAGAATGGACTAAGTGAAGAATATAAATGGAATAAAACTAAAAAGCTAATGGATATGAACTTAATTAGTGATATGCATCCAAAGAAAGGTTAGTTACGACATTTCCCCAATAACCAAAAGAAAATTTTGAAAAATAAACCAGAGGACACTACTTCACAAAAGCATATAACCTTTCAAAATGATACATATTCCTCTTCTAACATACTATCCTTTCATTGCGTCCGCATCTTTGTAAATTTCTTTTGTTTTTATTGAGTAGAATATAAAGACTGCTATTATTACTATATTATTTATAGCATATTAGTTATTGGTACAGAATTGTAGTAGTTATAGTAAAAGGAAACCCCCCCCCTCCCAAGAATTCAGAATATGATTATCCCTGAAGAGGACCCCGCCGGGGGGTGCTACGTCTTGACAACTACTAACGAAATCCAACGAATCAGCCAGAACCACCTCAGAAGTTGTTGGAAGACCGACCTGAATAAGGCGGATCTGGCGGCCATCATCACTCAGCTGTCAGTATTGATGGAAATCGTGGCGCACTTAGATCTGATGGCGGAGGTAGGCAGAGGCGAGGTCGAGCCAGCCAACACTAGAGCCGAAGCGGTCGGCGAGTCCTGGGAACGTGAGCGCTTCCGCGTACAGAAGGCGGAAGCAGAAGCAGAGGTGGCTAGGAAGGAGACATCGGTAGCAGCCACCACATCTGACACTATGGGAGGGCAATCGAATGTACAAAGTACGCAGGGGGGCACCAACGAATGCGATATACCCGGTAGAGGGCTCGAATATAAATACCTTGGAGGACACCAAAAAGGTATTAAAGACCTCGGTAGCTCTCTCCAAGCTGCAAATCAAGGTGGACAGATTGCGAAGGGTTGAAAATGGGGGATCCTTATACAAATTCAAACCGCGGAGGACCTTAACGAACTAAAAGCAGTACTTTCAACCACTGTAAAGGCCAGTGAGTTAAAGGGAAAGTCCCCCTTGGTGGTGATAAGGGACCTGGATGGAATCATGGAGCAATGTAGATTAACATTCAGAAAGAGCCGCCAAGGCTCTGGAAAATCCGCCATGGTCCTGGTATGCACGCCATCTTTACGAAAGCTTCTGGTCGGAGGAGGCCGACTGTACGTGGAGTGGGAGGTTTGCCGGGTAGCGGATTTTACCACTGCCGTATGCTGTGGCAAGTGCAGCCTATACGGACATAATGAAAAGAGGTACCCGCAGGATAACGTTATATACAGCCGTTGTAGAAAAATTGGTCACAAGATGGAGGACTGCAAAGTCGACACATGTCACCGGCGCAAGGGACTGCCCTGCTCGAGTACATGCAGAAAGATGCATGGTGGGAAGTACTAACTAATAATGGCACCCTCAAAGTGTAGAGTCGGCTAAATAAATGGAGGAAACTATGGAGCTACCCCTAGTAGCAGAAGAGATGGGACTCTAGGTTGGGTTCTGGCTTAGGAACATTACCCTGGGATCCATCAGGACATCGCAAGCAGTTTTCTGCGGTGCGGTGATGAGGCAGAATATTGCGTCTATGGTCGCCATATCCGTCGCAAGGACCTACCCTGAGCCCTCTTACACCATATGTCAACTACTCCTTGTAGTGTGTCATATACTAACCGACGAAGAGGGACTGTACGTGGTGTCCGCGTACTTTACACAGAGATTACAAAATGAAGAGGAAAAAAGGTCAGCAAAGAATCATTAAACACTATCTGTAAGTTCTTGCATAAGCAAGAAGCTTACTTTAAAGCCTTCAAACGAACTACGTGGAAACATCATTGGAAAAGTGGGAATTAGAAGATTCGCTGGAAACATTAGAAATGCGTTGGTCAGAGGTGGCAATTTTTACGCAGCAAAGTACGCGGTGATGGCGAGCGACTAATACAACACCTGGAAATAAGTTCTGTAAACTATAAAGCTTGTTGGGACATCTTAAATAATCACTACAATAACAAGAAACTTATACTTACGTCACACATAAATAATCTTATGGGTTTACCTAACCTACCTAATAAAGAAATTTCTTGATTGAACATAGAAACCTTAAACGCGATAAAAATCTTAATGTCGATATTTCAACGTAGGACCCCTTACTCATATATTTACTGTCTCATAAGTTGGATGCTAAAACTCATTCAGATCATAGTGAATCTTCAAAAACCCGACGAGAATTATCGATTTTATCTGAATTTTTAAGATTTTTGGAGGCAAAATTTACAGCTATAGAATCCTCACGCAGGAAACAAGAAAACAATCAACAAAAGTCGAATCACTATTTCAGCAGAGAACATTCTACCCAAAATAAAAGTTAACAATCGTGAAATCAAAGTCGACATAATAATAACATTCAACATAAGCAAATAAAACCATTCACGAAATCATATCATATTCCAAGTAATTTTAAATACCCTCTATGTTTAAAGACTGTAAATAAGCTTAAGCTATGCTAAATTGCTTATTTAGACAGAACGGGAGTTCATGCAGCTCCACAAAAACGTGTCGTAAATGTACAAAACGGCATAGCACGAGGCATATACAGAAATTAAATATTAATTAAATATAGACACTACGAGTAGAATAGATTCTAATGCCATCTGTCATGATTTCTATATCGATGATTTTTTAAGTGGCGGGTATTCCATAGAAACTGTCACTAATCTTTTTCATGACGTCATTCGTGTTTTAGAAACAGCTAAATTTAATTTACGTACATTTCAGTCTAATAGTTCAGAGATGATACAATCTATTTTAAAAATAAAAGGTGAAACAGACGCGTCCTGATGGTCGTCAAGGGGCAGAGCACCAGTGGCAGGTGTAAAGCCCAACCCCTACCCTTAGCCTGCTCGTAGCGTCGCTGCTATCGCCAATAAGAGAGGGGGGGATGCATCGGATCTAAATGTGGGGTCTGGGGCAGCCTTACGGACTCCGAAGTTGACACGTCTCTCAGATGTGCTCCGTATGGAAAGAGAGGCGGCAGCGCAAGTCATCAATTTCTCCGCCGCGAACCATGCTAGCGAGAAGGTGCCATGCTAGCTTTGACTGGCTCGTGGGCTGATTGGCAACGGACGCGTATGCAGACGAAACCCTCACCCTTGTGGTACGCAGTATCTCGAGAACTAGGAGACAAGGAGGGATGGCTCGGAGGTGGTGCTCCGAGTAGCCCCGTGCCTGAATCCATTTAAAGTTCACGGTTCGCTTCGGCTGGGCATACGAGAACCGTGAGCGAGGTCCGGAGTGGGTTGCACCCCTACTCATGGACGTTGTTTTATTTGCGCACGTATCGATGATGAAAATGAAATCGGCAACTCCGGTCTTTCACAGGAGCCGGAGGCGTCGAATAAAACTCGTCGGGGCGTTCGACGTCCCGTGCGCCATCAGGGGGAGTCGTCGTCCGAGTGGCCATGCTCGTTGTGCGAGTGAGGCTTCGGGACTAAAACTGGTTTGTGTGTGCATACAAGGTGTGTCCATCCAGTAGAAGCGAATGCGCAAAGCGCTCCTCCGCAGCTGAAGCTTTGGTGGCTTGAGGATGAACTCAGGCTGCTGGCTGCTGCTGGAGCTCGGCGGATATTTGCCGGGGAGAAGTGCACTAATGCTGCCCTAATGAAGGCACTGCCTCAACTTGGGCGCTCGAGGTGGAGAAAGGCGTGCGAAGGAAGGACGCCTACATGTCTGAGGTGACCAACGAACGAATTAGAGCGACTTCGCACGAGTGACGGCGGAGGTGTTGGTGGTAGCCACGCCGTTACCGAAGAGGGCAACAGCATAGAGAGTAGGGGGTCTCCGGTAGTACAGCGGGGGCGGAGGCGGCGTCAGCGGCTGGGATCTGAATGCGAGCCGCTAGACGCTGAAACTGGATGGGACACGGTGGAGGGTCCTAACGGTCCGGATTGTCTCCGTATCGTGGACGCTCTTCTAACAAGGGCAGAAGCGAGGATGACAAAAAGGGCCATGACGTGGCCTGATGACGCCCAATGAAGCCGGCACAGCTGGCGTAACAAAGACAGAAGGACCGACAAAAATGCTGCTGAGATTGATAGGAAGTTAACGAGCAGACAACGACAAAGAGCAGAGTACGCGAAAGTGCAGGATCTGTGGCGGAAATGTCGTAGTTTAGTAGCGGCTGAGGTAATTGATGGTCACTGCAGGGGATTGAAGCACTCTGTCGAGGAACTGGAGGCCTACTGGCGTCCAATACTCGAGAAAGTATCTGACCCCGCCCGGACGCTCTGCGAGCGGTAAGGTAAGTGGAGCAGGAGGGAGGATCACAGGACGTGAATCAGCTCTGGGAACCGTTGACCGCCGACAAAGTGAAAATGGTCCGACTCTACGCGCGCACCGCTCCAGGCCCGGACGGTATTCGTCTGGAGGACTGGAGAGCAGTTCCTGCACATTCGAAAGCAGAAATGTTTAATGTGTGGATGACCAAGGGGGAGATACCTGAGAGACTGCGACAGTGCCGCACGGTTTTCCTGCCCAAGGTAGAGGTGCCTGTGACCACCGGCGATTACCGACCGATTTCTTTCGCGTCGGTGCCGTTGCGTCACATGCACGCACTTTTGGCGAGAAGGCTTGTGGCGTGGAGCCTCCCAGATGTACGACAGCGCGGTCTCATCTGTGCCGACGGTACCTTGGAGAATTCTATGGTGCTGGACGCATTGGGGGATAGCAGGAGCAAGTTGCGGTAAGTGCCATGTGGCCGTCCTTGACTTCTCTAAGGCGTTCGACACTTACTGCAAGAGGTCTGCAGCCGGCGTTCTGCGATTATGTGTCGAGGTTGTACGAAATGGCGACCACTGTGTTTGCCGTGCCTGGACAACCGAGACAGATAGATCCTGTAAAAGTTCGTAGTAGAAGCCGCCAAGGAGACCCGTTATCGCCGGTGCTATTTAACATCGCCATGGACGTGGTTCTGGCCAATCTTCCGAATGAGGTATGCCGATGACCTCATCCTGTTCGCAGGATCAAAGATTGGCCTTCAGGCGTCCATTGATGCGGTGTTCGCGACTGGCAGTATAATGGGACTCAAGCGCAACCATGCCTAGAGTTTCGTGATGTCGATGGTAGGATGGGAAGCGCAAGAAGCCGCACTATCCCACCGATCAGCACACAACAGCCTGGGAATCCCAGTGATAGAGGGAATCAAGGTTACCGTCGTGAAGCCCTGCACAGCTCAGTGGACGGACTTGAGTTAAGCGAGTCCAATTCATGTCCTGCATCTACTAAGTGGATCAGGGAGCGAGCTGAGCAGCACACGGGCCGCGACTTCGTGCAGTTCGTGCATTGCCATATTAACGCACACCATTTGCGCGTGCGCAATTTTAGGGGGCGCAGAAATGGTGGGGTTGAGTTGAACTGCCGTGCAGGTTGCACGGTCAGGGAGACGACTGCCCCTACTATCCAGCAATGTCACAGAACACACGGGGCTAGGCTAACTGCCGAGGCCCATTGGGTCCCACGCAGCGGTCAGTGGCGCATGCGTCACTGCATCATCGTGCGGTTACCTGACCATCAGGGGCCCCGTTGACTTTTCAGCACAATGGCCAGCTGGTGGGATACATCTACAAAATGACCTTACATTATTTATATAGAAATGAGAAGAAGACAACATCGTGTGGCATTCATAGCGGATATTAACAAATGTACCAAATTTGGGTACGTGACGCCGACCAGAACTTACAAAAAATATTTTGGCGAGACTCTGCCTATGAAACATTACAAGAGTTTCAACTTACAACTGTCACCTACGGTACGAAGTCCGTCCCATTTTTAACAATGACATCGTTGCGAAGATTAGCACAAGATGAAATAAATAATTATCCTGACGCCGCAAAAGTGATAGAAGAATGTTTCTACATTTGATTAAACTCATGAATGCTGGGACATTCCTGTGCTATCTTTTGATGTTATATTGTTATAATGGTGTGTTCAATAAATCATTCATTCAATGATTCATTCATTCATTCATTCATTCATTCATTCATTCAGATTCAATTTAAGGAAATGGATGTCAAACTCAACAAGCCTACTGCGAGATGAAAATAAATTAAGAGATCAACAAGATGATCAATACCGTCAGTGCGTTGTCGCACGCACACACTCTCTAAATTTATCGATGACATAGGTGCTCATGGCACGAGTGGCAACTCACTAGCCATGGCTAGTAAAGCCGTGCCCGGGCATATTCCACATGGCTGTATCGCCGGTCGTTACAAGGTGACTTTGAAAACGAAACTAAAACATTGTATTGTATATGGATATCTCAATAACAGTTTATCAAATACAGATTTGTCTTTCTTCACATTTAAAGAACAAGAACGGTGGGTACCTATCTAATCTACTTATTTATT